GTATACACACACATGCACACACACACATATGGGCTAGAAAGTCTTAGCAGGTATATAACAGGTATATATGTGTGTATATGTACCTATTTATCTATATACACATACCAGCAGCATGTGTATATATACATACATATATACCAACATATATATGTGTGATATGTGTTACACATATATAAAATATAACAAGAACCCAGAAAGTTGCCTTGAAAGCTTCTGGGTTAATTACCAGGACCTGAAGTCTAGAGGAAGATTAATGTCTAGCAGGTATGTAACAGGCATATATATATGTGAGTATCTATGTACATGGTATATGGCATACATATACATATATACACACATACCATATACCAGTCTATGTACATATACATATATCCACATAGACATGTGTATATCTATATATAAGTATACTAATCCATACATGTATATGGGCATATCTCTACAACCTAGATAGGTAGATAGATACATAGATAGATAGACAGACAGATATATAGATAGATAGATACTCACACATATATGCCTGTTACATACCTGCTAGACATTAATCTTCCCATAGACTTCAGGTTCTGGTAATTAATCCAGAAGCTTTCAGAGCAATTTTCTGGGTTCTCACTATATTCATCTTTTAAAGACTGGTCAAACAAGCAGGTAAACAAGTTAACAAAGACAAGCAGTTTAACAAACAGGAGCTGAAGGTGTTGTTAAAATTTAAATTATTTGTCTGTCAAGTACGATTTTATTCTGTGGCCAGGAGAAAATCTAGCCCTGCATAACCCTGACAGCTGCATGTTCCTTAGTAAATAAATCTCTTTCAGCATGTGTCCCTGATGTCAACACGCTAAGCTAGCACATGTCATCCCGAGATGATGATCAGATTACCCCTCCCCCCCAGTTTTCTATTTCCTTTCCCCTCTTGAATTATGACTCTCTCCTAATACTTTCTTCAATCAGACTTGGAGTTCCGAGTTCAATTATTATCTTTGCTTAAAATATTCCCTGTCAAAGACTGTGATTTAGATAGTTTATATAATCATTTTACTTACTGAATGGAAAACACTAAATTTCATATTGTGAAGGAGCAGGGTGCCAAGAAGTATTGTCTAATTGATCTCCCCAGAAAATTGGGACCCAAAGAATCTGTTGAAGACAAAGTGCTGGAGAGCATTAGGAGCAAATGTCAAAATTAGAACAAAAAAGTCAGTGGGCCTGCCCCGGAAAATATCCTATCACAGTTTATACCAGGAGAGTGTCCTCTTTTTCTGTCAATGGCAGCACCATACTTCCAGTCACCTAGGTTGGCAACCTCAGTATAATCCTCATTTCCTTAATCTCACTCATCCCACATATCTAATTAGTCAATTGCCAATTGTTTATTTCTCCACAATATCTCTCACACTCATCCCATTTCTTGCACTCAGCCATCATCCTAGTTCAGGTTCTCATTATCTCTGTTCTGTACTAAAGCAATAGCCTAGTCTCCCTGCCTCAAATCCCTCCCTACTTCAATCCATCCTCCACATAGCTTAGAAAATGATTCGTCCAAGTGACCATATCATCCCCCACTTCTCAACAAGCTTCAGTGGCTCCCTATTACCCCTAGTTCCATTATAAACTCTTTTATTTGGCATTTAAAGTTCTTCATACCCTGTTTTCATCCAATCTTTCCACCTTTATTCCATATTACTCTTTTCCATGGAATCTACAGTCTAGCCATTCTACTTTCTTTTCTGGAGGCAAGTGGGCTTAAGTGACTTGCCCAGGGTCACATAGCTACCAAGTGTCAGAGGCTGGATTTGAACTCAGGTCCACCTGATTCCAGGGCTGTGTTCTATCCACTATGCCACCTAGCTGCCCCCATTCTGACTTTCTTGTACCCCATGTCCCATCTCTTTGCCTTAAATTGTCTTTCTCTTTCCTTACTGTGCTTCTTATAGTCCCTAGTTTTCTTCAAGATTCAGTTCAAGTAACACTTTCTGCATCAGGCCTTTCCTGGTCTTATAACTGCAAGTGCTGTCCCCTATCCCCAAAAAGACTGTACCTGCTTTTCATGTATTTTGCATGTGCCACCTCCACACCATTTGGCAAGGGACTCTGTTCCTGTGACTGAGCTCTGAAAAGTGATTGAACTTCATCTTGCCAAAAACCAGGCCTCCATGCCATTTCTCTGACATTTCCACCCCATATCACTATGGCCATACCATCCTCACCCATTTATTTGTTGTCTTCTCCATTTAGAATGTAAGCTCCTTGAGGGCAGAAATGATCTTGTTTGTTTGATTTGTATCCCCAGTCCTTAAGTAAGACTTAATAAATGCTCTGTTGGTCTGTCTGTCTCTTATCCATGAACACATTAAATGCTCTTGTTAAAATGTAAGGTCTTGAGGAGTGGGATTGTTTCTCTTTTGTCTTCATGTCCTTAGTACCCACCACAATGCCTGGGAGGTAGAGCATAATAAATACTTTTTTTCCCCCACTAAGTTCTTGTTGCTTGATTATGGACATAGTAGCAATTTTGAATGACTCTTGGTACATTGGAAAATACGCTAGATTTAATCAGATTTTGGTTATGAGATTATGTAATGGAGAACCTGCTCTGTTTAGCTCTAGAACTCCTGCCCTAGGGTTTCCTGTTTCTGACTGGTGAGTGTCTGATGTGATTCTTTATATCTAGGCTTGCCTGCAGCCATACTTCACTTTACTACCTCTTCCTCTCAGCCTACATCTTTCTTCTTGTCTTTCCTCACCCTGATTCTTTTGGTTCTGGAACCATAATCAAGTCAATACTATTAGGAAAAGTGTAGCAATCTACTCTCCCAATAGCGACACTCACTGCTCCAGAAACTTTGCAAACACCTCTCCAAGGCATCATTCCAACACAACTCTCTCAGTAGAATGTAAACTCTTTGAGGTCAGGGACTGACTTTACTTTTTTATTTGTATCCCTAGCATTTTAACACTTGGTACTTTAATACATGGTAAGAGGTTAATAAATACTTTTACCATTCATTCATTCATTCTTTCATCTATGCATAGATTTGGGACAATTTACTTGACTTCACCAGGCCTTAATTTCCTTGTCTATAAACTAAGGGGGCTGCACCTTGCACTTTGAAGTTCCTTCCAACTTTAAATCTATGAGCCGTTTTTTTTCCTCCTTGGGGAGGCTGAGGTTAGGCTGTAGTCTCCACTCTGTCTTCATCCAGATCTTTGCAGTAGAAAACTCACCAAATAAAAATGATTTACTCACCAGTCTTCTCTCCTGTTTTCTCTTCTGTCCCACCATCTAACATTGTACCTGGCAGTTACTTTCACTCCCTTTCCCCTAGACTCTATTTCTGAAGGGTTGTATTCTCTTCCCCTTTCCATTTCTTCATGCTCCTTTTTGCAATTAGGTTGCTACTCTCTTCTCATCCTCGAAGACAAGGGGAGGAAGGGCATTTCTTGGCAACGTTGCTACCACTTGGCACAAGCCTAGAGAGTACACATCTTTTGGCTATCTCCTTCCTTTACCCTCCTCCTGCCTCTGAGAACCAACCACTCTGTATTTGATTTTGTTCATCTTCTGACTCTTTTGCTTTCCATCTTGTAGGCTTGCTCGAACCATACACACAAGGCAGCCCCAAAGGGTTAATAATTTAGAGGACTGCCAGCTTTGAAGAGAGTTTGTTTACCGACCAGCATGCTCATTTACCATCTAGCAGAGTAACGGGGATTTACAGTAGACTATTTAAGGCTGATCTGTGGTATTTTCCTCTTCCCATTCCCAATCCTCCTCCTTTTTTTCTTCATGTGCTTTTAGTGATTACATGATCTTAAAAGAGGAAGAGGACAGAAGGTGAGTGAGTGCATTCTGGAAGATACGGGCTGTTGTCATGGCTCCGAGATCCCAGGGGTGGAGAGAAAATGGACTCAGAGTATCTGATTAGGGGAAAGAAAGTACCTACCGAGACTTTTATTTATTTATTTATTTTTTCAAACGGTCCTAGGGAGAATTGTATTGTATCAGAGGCAGGACCCGAGGGGAACAGACATTTGACACTGGAAAACCAAGTCGCTTTTTGCTTAACTTTAGATGTGGGAGGGGGTGTGCCTTCTTTAGACTTAGGATCACAGAGAAGACTGCAGTTATTTACTTCTGCTTTCTTTCTCCCCGCTGGGAACTCGCCTAAGGATTCCCGAAGTGCGAAAGCTGGAGCTGGCACCCTTAGCGCATCCTCCCAGACCAGGTGCTAGCTCCCGGCTCTCACCGCCAGAAGTGGGTGGGGCGGGCCGTAACCCCAGCCTTGGCCGCGGGGAGCCCCACCTGTTTCTTTTTCAACCTCAGACAGGGGCTCCCTTCTGGGCCACACCTCCCTTTTGTCGGAGAAGTTAATCCCCGGAGATTTCTAGAAGGGGGAGGAGGGGAAAGAGCTGAAGGCGGCGGGTCAGTAGAACAGCCTAAGACAGCCTTCTGCACAGAACGCACATCTTGGTGAGTGAATTCCCGTGGCCTGCGCTGTACGCGGGGCTGCCCCGGCACCCGCCCCCTGCCTCTGCCTGCTCTTGGAAACCCCCAGCCGCTCCTCCAGAGCCCGGCTGGGACTTGGCGTTTGCAGCTTCGTACTTTTCTTAGCCAAGTGAAAAAAGATAGTCTTTGATTTCCGGCAAGGCGGAGGCTGCAGGGAGAATCTGCTCTATTTTAAAATGTATTTTTCGGGGGTGGGGGAGAGCAGTGAGTGGAAGTGGGAGAAACCGCTTCCCCAGATACACGCCCGCCTTGGTCCTTGAGCCTCAGGGGACCGCAAACCGGGGCAGTGCAGCGTGGGGCGCCCGACTCGCGTGGAGAGTTCCCGGGGCTAGGAGAGGTGGGAGAGCGCGCGAGGAGCCTCCGCAGCTCGCCGCATCCCGGAAAGGGGCTGCTCTCCCCTATCTTCTCCTCACCCCCCCGTCCGCCCCCGCTGGACTCTCGGGCTCCCTCGCACCCAGCCCACTCCGCCCGAGGCTGAGCGGGGCGGGGCGCCAGCATGGGGTTGCTGTCGGGAGACTGCCAGGAAGGAGGCGGCAGCGGCCGCGGCAACGGGGAGCAGCCGGCTAGCCCGGGCTGCGTCGCGGAGGAGGAGTCCTTCCCGGCCCTGAGAGCCGGAGAGAAGGAGGATGAGGGGGCGGAAGAAGACTACGAGGAGTATGTGGACTTTTCCCTCCTGCCTGATGCTCGCAGCATTGCCTCGGATGACTCCTTCTACCCGTCTGATGGGGACGGCGGCTGGCTGGAGCAGGGCGAGCCCGAGTCCTGGGGCTGCTCGGAGGTGGAGGACTACGCGGACGAGGGGGCCGTCCCGGAGGCGGTGTCCCTTTTCCGTGCCGCCAGCACCAACAACGTGGGGCTGCTGAGAGCGCTTATCCGCCGGGGACCTAGGGCTGAGGAGGTGCAGGAGACGGACCGCAACAGCCGGGTAAGAGCGAGGGAAACGGGTGTCCGTGTCCCTGTCCTTGTGTGTTTGTGTGTGACAGTACCCACAGCACAACACCGAGCCCCCGCCGTCGGATTACTCTCTACACTCTTCTTTTCCTTCCACCTGCCCGGCTCACCTTGCCTCTCTGCTTGCCCTCTCGCTGCCCTGTCCCTCCTTCGCCTGCCTCCAGCCAATCACAGCAGCTTCATCCCGCAACATGGACTTCCCACTCGACATCCTCTACTCGCTAGTCGGACAGCGGGCCCCTAGCGAGGGATTTCCCCTTGCCCCAAGCCGTCCACACTACTCCTTCCTGCCTCCTTGGGCCGCCAAACACATTCTCTGCTCATCCTTTTCTCGAGAGCTGCAAATAAAGTCCATTTTTAGCACTGTTTGCCCTAGCACATCCCAACCCAGTTTACAAGTTTCTTCCACACTGCTTCTACAGGTTCGAAAGCCTTGGTCCCTCATGCACTCAGCCTCACTTCAGACCTACTTATTTCATACCCAGCAGAGAAAGTGTCATACCCAATTTCTGCTGTAGAGAGAGCCCTTCCAGTGCCCCATCCTAAAATTAAACCTGTGTTCCATTACCAGTGCCTTAGGAAGTATAATTGCATATTTCCAATTTAACCCTCCTCCTACCAACCAAGAAGAGTGGGAATTAGCTTCCTGCTGTTATTATACCAGTAACATCTAAAGACCTACACAAAATCCATTTAGCTTCACATTTAGGGGCAGAGGAATAGAGTGAAAATCGATCAATCTGCAACATTTATGTGCTTGATATGTGGCAGGTCTCCTCTCAAGGAGCTTACATTCTAATAGGGATATAACATAAATAAATAAATAACATATAAAAAACATACAAGGTTACCTCAGAGAGGAAAGAGGACTCAGACCTACGTGAAAGATATGAGCCTAATAATTATGTCCTTAACCTCATAGAACCTCAGTTACCTCATCTGTAAAACAATCAAAAGATGTGATGTATGTAAGAGGCTTCACTAACTTTAAAATGTTCTGCTAATGCCAGTACCATTAATTTATTCTGCAATTGAAGTAATATTTCATAGCTAAGTTTACCCAGTCCAGTACTCTCATATTTGTTTCTGTATGCAAGCATTTTTTTTCCTCAGAAATTTTCAGTCCTTCTTCCTCTTTTCAAGTCCCTCATATACACTGATAAAGCCTGCAGTCTGGGATAAAAATTTCCACATTCAGCTCTCTTCATTTTTCAGCTTTATAATTAAGGTACTTTTCCTTCTTTCCTTAAACTATTTATTTGAATTGCTTTCTTAACCATCTGGTTTTGCAATAAGGCAAGAGGAATACTCTTTTCCAATCATTCAGTCAGTCTGAATTTTTACTGAGGTACTGTGAGGTACCTGTGATAGCCTACAGGCTAGGAGAGAACTAAGAATTGTGCCCTTAATGATCCATTTGGGGGAGAAAATACTAAAGTGAAATCTTTGTTGAACAATAAAAGACAATATATAAAATTAAGTGCTAAATTATGTTCTTTATAAATGTCTGAGGAGTTACTTTCAGAGAAGAATGATCAAAGAGGTTTGATAGACATGGTTGGCTTCCTGGACTTCAAGTGAGATGAGCTTGTTGGGTAATAGAATCACATTAGGGCTTTTATTAGGGATTATTTGTTATCATAATTTGTAGTTGGTAGACTACTTTAAGTATTGTCATAAGAAGTAATCCTTATAATATTGATAGTCTCATAGGTTTGGCTAATATTGCTGTTCTCAATTTAGAGAAGGGAAATCTCTCCAGTGAGCACTTCATTACTTTAGTTCTGCAATTTCAGTATTTGAGACGTTGATGTTTGAGCCCTAGTTACTCCTTCACTTTAGATACCCCTTGCTGGTGATAGTTAGTGTCTTATGTATTTAGCCTGAGCTTGTGAGGTGAGAGTTTCCTGAGACTTATTTAAGATAATGGCTCTCCACAAATTTATACTTTCCTACAAAGATATACCTAGTTTCTACACTTAAAAACAGAAAATCACAGAATTTTACAGTTGGAAGTAACCTCAGTGGTCTTCTGTTCCAACCCATACTTGAAAGGCATATTGTTATTCAGTCATGTTCCATGAACCACATAGATACTGGAGTTGTTAAGGTTTGGGGGTAATGGTATCCTGAAATAGCCACACTTGGGTCCTGCCCAAATGAGTTCGATCCACGCCTTTTTTCAGCCAAAGACAAGGTTTATTAGAACATTGATTGGGGGTGGTTGAGATTTCAAGAATCCTCCATATTGGCCAGACTCTTGTATCGCCAATGCAAGCAGGCCAGATTGAAACTGAGCAATTTAATGGCAGCCAAGATGGGTCTTATATACAGAAAGACTGTGGGAGGGATCTAGGAGTGGCCGAGTAGTCTGGGGTGACTGAGGTAACAGAGGGCCTGGGAACACCAGGGTCCTGGACCACATGGCCAAGGGAGACTGGACTCTAGATAGGATCTAGTAGTACAATTGTAGAGTGGGGCCAGGTGCAGACATTAAAAGGCCAGCTAATTAACTGGGAAGGGTCCATATTTCAGGCATACAAATGCCAGAGACTTGACCTTGAGAGAAAAGGAGGAAAAGGAGAAGACTTGAGGAAAAGGAGAAGACTCTAGGAAAAGTTGGGCTGGGGGGGGTGGGGGGGAGGGAGAAGCTTTCCCAGGGCCTATACCCCATCAGAGTATCTCCAGTGGATTAAGACAAACAGAGGTTAAGTGACTTGCCCAGGGTCACACAGCTAGTAGGTATCTGAGGCTGGATTTGAATTCAATTCTTCTTGACTCCAGGCCCAGCATTCTATCCATTGAGCCACCTAGCTGCCTCTGCAGGGATATACAAGTGGTCATCCAGCTTCTGCTTGAAGACCTTTCCAAAGAGGCTGGTCTAGCGGAGTTAGGAAATTCTGCTTCTGATATTTAACTAGCTATGTGATTCCAGGCAAGTCTTACCCTCTCTGTGCCTCAATATCCTCATCTCTAAAATGAAGAGGTTGGCTTAAATGACCTCTGAGGTCCCTTCCATCTTTAAATCTATACTATTTCACTTCATCTCTCTAATTGTTACTTTTTCCTGGCATTTTCCTCTTTGCAACTTCCATTTGCAATAGAAGCATTGTGCTAAACTCTGGGTATACAAATATTAAACTAAGACATTATTGCCCTCAAGGAGCTTACATTGTAAAGGAGGAAACTTCATCACTCTCGAAGGGGGGTCCTAGAGGAGCTCATTGTTGTGGAAAGTTATTGGGTGGGTGGTGGCTGTTAGTGAGGAAAGATTGGGAAGGGAGCAAAGCACTGCCTGTGACTGGGGCTTTCCTGAAATAGTGCTCCAGGAGAGGCAGTCACCAATCCCAGTGAGTTGGACTGCCCTTTAAATTTTTGAATATAGCTATCTTATTCCCTATGGGCCTTAAGTAGGTAGCTAACCTTTCCCAGTTCCATCAGCTGATCCTTATATGAAAGGACTCAAAAGCCTTTCACCCTAGTTGCTGTCCTCTGAACCCTCAATGACTTTTCAGCATCCTTCTCAAGTGTGGTTCTCAAAAATGAACAGGATGCTCCTGATATGGACTGACCAGGACACAGCACCTGGAGACTCTTTTCCATCTTATTCTTGTAAGTTGTGCTTTTCAGTGTAGCCCAAAGTCACATTAGCTTTTTGGCTGCCACAGCACAAATCTGACTCATTTTGTGTTTGATTTCAATCAAACCCATGAGATCTTTTTCAGACAAACTGCTGTTCTAATTATATGCCCACCCCCTATCATATGTGTGTGAAGTTGATTTTTTTCTGAACCCAAGTTTAAGACATTTATTCCTGTTGAATTTCATTTCAGTAGATTCAGCCAGTTTTGTATCTTGTGAACAACTTTTTAGGAGACTGTCACCCAGTGTAGTGTGTTCACTGTCCTTATTAGTTTTTTTGTCAGCTGTAAATTCACTATAAAAATTAAATTGCACAGGTCAAGCAGAGATTCCTGGGACATTCCACTGAGACCTGCTTACTTGACATTGAATTATTAATGTCTCCTATTTGAGTCTTGTCATTCAAGCAGTTCAACATCCATTTAATTATAATTATCATTTAGTACATAACTTCATCTTTTCCCCAAATAATAGTAAAAGACACTTTGTCCACTACATCTAAAGCATTTTCTTTATCTACCAAAAAAAGGAAATAAGACTAGGCTGGCATCAATCGACAAATATTTTTATAAAGCATCTGTTATGTGCCAAAACTTTATACTGGGAGGTAGAGATATAGAGACAAAAATGGAACAGTGCATGCCTTCATGGACCTTGTATTTTACACATATATACATATATACATATAATACACATATGCATAAGCCAAGTGAATATAAGATAATTTTGGGGGGAAGGCACTAGCAGTTGTGGGGTGTCGGATTGTTCTCTTGTGTGGAGTGACAGTTAAGCTTAGTTTGAAGGAATCTAGGGATGTGTGTGGTGTGTGTGTGTGTGTGTGTGTGTGTGTGTGTGTGTGTGTGTGTGTG